GATGTTTCTGACCAACAACTCCCCTCAGTCCTAGCCTGCATACTGGACAGTGAGCTGTTGGGAGTTGCAATCCATAAATAACTGGAGAGTTCCAGTGGTCGCTGCTATATCACTCCATACACTCTTTCTAAGTGGCTTTTTTTGCCATATATGACATGACTCCACAAGTGCAGAGATTCTCACTCCTATGACCTTCTTTGGTCTTCCAGTCCATCCACTGTAGGTACTCACAATGCAAAGTAGTTAGACAGCTAACTGGTAGCTACAGCACCATGGAAAGCTCCAAATGATCAACCTGGGCTGCATTGAGACACAGGGCCCCTGTTCCCAGTTAAAAGGCATTGAGCAGCTATTTAGTGTTTTTTGCTAGTAAGAAAAAAGAAGAAACAGAAGAAAACATGGGAGTAATACAAATTGGAGCTTGTGTAAACTTCCATGAATGCAGGAATGCACCTGGCAAAATCTGGAAGCATCTTTGTCTGGCAAAGACTGAATGGGAACTATCCAATCTACCCATGGTCTGTCCCTTCCTTGGAAACTGTGACTCCTTAACAATTGACCATATTCTCTGAAGGCAACCATTTGCTGTCCTTTTTGTATCCTACTACGATCCCTATGCTTAAGATGTAGGAGCTCAGGTTCTTCAGGCTGGCTCCTGAACTCTGGCCTCAGGTTCAGTATTAGTAGTCTGATTTTTCAAACTCTGAACTAATCTACTTCATCCTTAATTTAAGACTGGGGCCAGGAGAAGTTGTCGTAAAGCCACCACCATGTCAACAGCTACCTCATGAACATCACACACAGCAGTGATAAGGCTCATTGGCATAGACTCATATCTGTTAGGCCCCATGTTCCACACACTTCTATTTTACATGGGGAAAGAAAAACAGGAAGAAAGAACACTTTGTAAACAAAGGAAATGCTTTGTGTTAAAAGAAGTGTGTTTGGCTTAGTAAAGATACAGAATTAATCTGGAGTTTGGGCTTTATTTTTTAGTAATCACAGCTGCCTCTATGTTCTTCATCAATACATCTGACAGTTTTGAAAGATGCACGGATGTTTTGTTTTTGTGGTTCTACAGGGGGAGCCTGTCCATATTTACTCAGAGGTAAGTCCTATTCAGTTAAATGAATCTCCCAGCTAAGTGTTTGAGACTATAGAGAACCTGGTACTTATACTGAATGGAAAACTTTGCATTGGCTAAAATGTGTGTTGTATTTTGCCACATATCTCTTCCATATTTTTACTGTATTAAATTATGTTCAGAAATGCAGACTCCTAGATTTAAAGTCAAGGCACTGACCCTCCATTTGCAACCCCATTTGTGACTACTCAAAAGTAAGTCTGAATGAGTTCAGTTGGGCTTACTTGCAGGAAAATGATTATAATTGCAGCCTTAGGGATCCTAGCCCCACATCCTTACTAATATTTTTACCCTGTTTTTCTCTTGGAAAAGGACCCAAGGGGGCTTATATCATTAAAAGACCATATTTAAAGCTAAAACAGTAAGCATACAAACTACTAGATGGATCAAATACCACATTACAACATAGTATATAAAAACAACACAACATATATATTCAAAAGCAGTAAGGCACAACAATGATGCCCACTTTGTGGCTTTGTGATAGTCACTATAACTCAGTCTAAGCTACCTCATAGAGTTGTTGTAATGCACTAAATAGGTTAACTTATGTACACCATGAATTCTTTTGGGAAAATGCAAAATAAAAGTGTGAAAAAGGAATAAACTGTTTATGATATTTGTATTCCTGTTCCTTCAGTGGGCACAAGCTGCCATAAAAGGCTCTTCCTCCTGCCCACTTTGTTTTCACACACTTTCTCAGCCTGAGGTAGTTCAGACTGAGTGACTGGCTCAAGGCCACCCATTGATTGACTTCATTCAGTGGGGTCAGGAACCCAGGTTTGTGGAGTCATAGTCCAGCACCCAAGCCACAAGAATGTCTGTATTGTGAAAATATGCTAGATCTACAATCATTAAGACATACACACATTCCCAAAGTTGAGTTCGCATCTGTTTGCCTGGGAGCATCTGGTTCCAAGTTACCTCTAGATTATACATTGGGCAAGCCTTCCACCAATTTAACAACTTAGACTATGCTAGCAGAAAACTCTATCTTGTCTGACTAGTAGCAGCTCCAGACATGGAGCATGACCATTTATTCATCAGGGATAGTCTCCATGCAGGCAAATGCTTGTCTGGAATGGAAGATACCGATGGGTAGTGTATAAATCAGATGGTGGCCTCCATGAATAGGATCACTTTGCTTTTCCTGCAGTCACTGACGATACGTTTCAAGAAAGAATGGAAAGCAAAATCAAGCCTGATTGTTTGTGGAACCGACCATTTAAAGCATTACGGCACGAACACCCATCAGCAAGTGTATCTTTTTTTCATGGGCTTTTGATGACATTGGTTGACTGTAGTACAAATGCATGTGAGTGCAATTTACTGCAAATAACCTGCAAAATGCTTTTCAACAGAGGACTTTTGAGCATTATGGCCAGATTGAAATGTCTTCAACTGAGAATTCCTAGAACTAAATCTGAGCCTTTCTGCCTCAAAGCAAGTGGTGTACTGATGAGTGATGAATGTAGCATTCATAGGACTATGTACTATTTAAAAGCTTTGGATCTTATACCTAAGGCTTAAATTAGGTGACAGGAAGCAAAGACGTTTAAATATAGTTTATCTACAGTGGAATCCATTTGCAGATAACAGTTTCAAAAGCTGTGGGAGTTGAAGTGAATGGTGATGAGATTACAATCATTGTTCCATCAGAAGTAAATGATCAAAGTAGTGATCAGAAGTAAGTCTCAAAGAAAAGAGGAAAGCAGTGTTTTAAAGCTATCTCTACTGTTCTGTTATAAATAAGGGTCACAAGCTGGTTAAGCTTTAAGGATTTCAAATTCCATTGGTTTGCAAAGAAGAATTAAGTATATGTTCCAGGACTGACCCATTGAAATAAGTGAAACATCACTGTGCTTAACTTTTACTGTACTGTACTCTAGATGGAAAAGACCCTGGTGTTGGGAAAGTGTGAAGGCAAGAGGAAAAGGGGACGACAGAGGATGAGATGGATGGACAGTGTCATCGAAGCTACCAACATGAATTTGACCAAACTCCGGGAGGCAGTGGAAGACAGGAGGGCCTGGCGTGCTCTGGTCCATGGGGTCACGAAGAGTCGGACACGACTTAACGACTAAACACGAACAACTCTAGATTAACTTCTATTGATTTTTAGTCTTGCCATTTAGAAATAGATTCACATGAGCAAAGAAAAATCTGATTCTTCTTTCTGCAAGCAAAGCTTTTTGGTGTGGTGGGTGTAGAAATGCTAAGCATTTTCTTTGGGGTTGAGCTCCCCTTTCTCACAATGCTTTGTGTCCTAAGACTGGGATCATAACAAAAGGTATCAAGGCACAGGTTGCCATTATGGAATTTAAGCAGTCATTGTTCACTAGACCACATCTACTATGACCTAGATCTGTTTGAATTAGGATTAGAGTAGACATGAGCAAGAACTTCAGTTTGGAGATTCATGCCAGTTCATTGAATCAGCACCACAGATGCTACGTGCTCCCTCCTCGCATCCCTCCAGCCAGATCCCCAACTCACCAGTCGACATGTGCTGCTCCTCTCCTCCTCAGGCGTTCAGTCAGTCCCAGCAGGAGCACGTGCTTCCCTCCTCCACCTCCTCCAGCAACCGCCCACTCAGACTAAGAGGCAGGACAGGGATTCCTGCAGCGCTGCCTTTGAGTGGGCGGCTGCTGGAGGAAGTGGAGGAGGCAAGCTCCTGTGAGCTGCCTACTCAAAAAAAAAAGTTTTTAGCAGGACTTCTTTTAATAGAAGAAGCCCCCTCAAACCCTCTGGTGGGTATATATATATATATTTTAAAAAAAATACCGTGGTGTGTTCGTGGGGGGTTATTGAGAACACAACATGACAGAATAGCTTCCCATGGCTCCCTAGAGGCATAAGGGGATTCTTTTCCTGCAAAATGAAAATTAATTTGAAAAGTGTGGAGGCCTAGGAACCTCCAGGGTGCTGGGAGACATCACTAGGTGTCTGGGTGGGTGGCATATATAACCTTAAGGAGATAGTTTGCCTTCATCTGGATTGTACTATCAGGAGATCTATATGGAACTTCCAGATCCAAAAGCAGTTGCCAGACTGTGGGGATATATGCCACCTGGAACACACCAGATCTTGCCTGGTTTCAAAATCTAGGCAGGCTCAGGCCTGGTTGGTACTTGCATGGGAAACGTGAGGAAACACCATGGATCTTCGGGAAGGACTAGGAATGGTTGCTGGCTGAAACTTTGCTCAAACAGAATTGACAGTACTGGGCTAAATGAATCAAAGAAAACGTTACATTCCTATGACTTTTGTCCTAATCTAGTGGGGTTCTTACAACGTTCTTAGAAGCATGGGAAACGGTCTGTGGAGCCCTTCGGCAATATAACCACACATATGGTTGAAGATACTACAGAGACAAAATCCAGTTTGTATGTTTGCATGCATACATTAGGCCACCTTTTGCAAACTCTCACTGAAGTAAACTGGCCACTATTGACTACAAGTTCTGTAATATTCATAAGATATTTGTACCTGTTAGATCATTTATCACCGCCAAACATTGACAGACAGAAATTAAAGTACAGCACATAAAACTTCTGTTCATTGCCCAAGGCATGTTCTAGTTGTTCATTCTGACATTTCATGTTTAATCATTTACCGGATGATTATGAGTGAAAATAATAATTAAACTTCAATTTAAAGAAATACATTAAGTTCTTTTCTAGAGGGTGGCTTGTAGGGAAATATCATGAAATTCTCAGATTAATTAAGAATCTTGAATGGAATGTAAAAAGGTATGCTTCCTCTCCCCCCCCCCCCCGTTTTACCTTTTAAATAAAGCAGAAACAAGAGAAGGAGATAATTTGCAAATTTGAGAAGCATTTTTTTTCTTTAAAAGGTAGTCCCAGGCTTTGGAATGCACTGCCCAGAAAAGCCAGGTTCGGCCCCTTCGTATTGGCCTTCCTGTTATGAGGCAAAAGACCTTCCTCTTCAGGCAGCCTTTTAAGTAGTAAGTATCTCAGGTATGCTTGTTTAGTAACATACAGATTTTTAAATGTTTTTAATCTTAATATACAGTGGTGCCCCGTATAGCGAGGCTAATCCGTTCCGGATTAACCCTCGCTATACGGAATCATCGCTAAACGGGTAGGGGAAAGGTATTGGAACGCATTAAACTTCGTTTAATGTGTTCCAATACCTTCGTTACTTACCCGTTCAGCGAGGATTCCAGGTGCCGGCAGCCATTTTCGCGCCTTCGCTAAGCGAGGGCAGGGTGCGAAAACGCATTTTGGAACCGCCGATCAACTGTTCGGCGGCTCCAAAATGGCCGCCGCAATACCCGATCTTCGCAATGCGGGTTTTCCCCATTGCGAAGATCGGGTATGTTTCCGTATAGCGATCCCGAAAAAGGGATTGCTATACGGAAACATCGCTATACGGTGCACTCGTTAAGCGAGGCACCACTGTATATTTAATTGCTTTTAATATGATATTTATATAGTATTATAAAAACTGGTGTCTTATAGTTTTACTGGTTATGAGCTGCCTTGGGTCCCCTATGGGGAGAAAGGTGCAATTTAAATAATATTGATCAATCAATCAATCAATCAATCAATCAATCAGGTAATTCGCAAATTTTTAGTTTGGAAATATAAAGAGCAGTTAATAGGGTATATAGATGCATCTTTTAAGAGCACACATTCTAGAGCAGAGTTTGCCAGCCTGGAGGCCATGACCCCAAGGGGGTCACATAGTGTTTTCTGGGCGGGTCACCTTATATGTGTTGTAACCCTTGCTAAATAATTTCTTCCTTGACTTGGGGACGTGGTGGCGCTGCGGCCTAAACCGCAGAAGCCTGTGCTGCAGGGTCAGAAGACCAAGCAGTTGTAAGATCGAATCCACGTGACGGAGTGAGCTCCTGTCGCTTGTCCCAGCTCCCGTCAACCTAGCGGTTCGAAAGCATGCAAATGCGAGTAGATTAATAGGGACCACGTGGGAAGGTAAAGGCATTCCGTGTCTATGTCGCACTGGCCATATGACCACGGAAGATTGTCTTTGGACAAAACGCTGGCTCTATGGCTTGGAAACGGGGATGAGCACCGCCCCCTAGAGTCGAACACGACTGGACAAAAATTGTCAAGGGGAACCTTTACCTTTTACCTATATTAAAGTTAGTGTGTATGTGTATGTAAGGGAAACAGGCCCTTTAGGGGAGAAAGAAGCCTCTACTTTCTGAGAAAGGATGGCTTTACCCCATTAAAAATGCCTTTTTATGCAAACGTGGTGGGTTTGGAAGTTACCTGGTTATTATAAAAGGGAGCCACAACTTGAAAAAGGTTGGGAACCACTGTTGTAGAGAAATTCAGGAATTCATGTCCCCACAGAGCATTCTGCTAGGCACTTGTTGAGAAAGACAAATATGGGCTGTTGTTTTCCAGAACTCTGGCCAAATAAAAGACAGCCAGGAAGACTGGCTAATACCTGAACACTAGAAGTGGCTGATTTATTGAATTTTTAAAATTATTTTCTTAAGATATATAATCCATTTTATAATTCTAAATGTATCAGACAATCTGAAGCCATTTGTCATCTCCTTCACACTTACTGTTTTGTAGTGAGTGTAGGAGTTGGAACAGTTTTTGCCTGTGTTGTTGGGTTGTTGGCCAGCTGCAGGTAATTAGTGGGAGTGAGGCGGTTTCTTGGGTGAGCGTTGCATAAATGCGCATGTGTGTTTTACTAAGCCTCTTTTTCCTTGTCTTGTTGACCAGGGATGATGAATAAAGGCATGCTGATTTATGACTTGGAGTTATGAATCCACTTTTTAACACTTATTCATAATTTTCTCCCAGTGCAAGGCTTTGCCAGCATTAAAATGTCCAATCGCAGGCATGACCTGACTGCTGGCCCCTCCTTTAGAGCCCCTCTGGCCTTCACAATTAAATAATTAATGCCTGCCTGACCAATTTCTAGTTTACTGGGTCAGGTTCTTCAGTTATACTCTGTTCCCCTGAAACCATATTTTGAATGTTTAAATGTCATCCTTTACAACAGGGGTCTCATTTGTGGCCCCCCAGATGATAGTTTGTGGCCCTCGTCTTGCCTGCCCCCCAAAGCGCACACACATCCTCTGCTGTCAAGAGTAAAAAAAAAGCCTTGCCTCGCTCGCCGGCTCTCTCCCAAGACAGCACCTCTTGCACCCTCCATCCAGAACTGCAGCCTGCCAGCCAACCCACCTGTCTGTCGGCTAAGGAAACTCCCAGGCGGCTTCCTCGGGCTCTTGCTCCACTTGGCGGGAAATCTGATGCAGCCCAGCCTCACAAAGACTCTGCCTCTAGCAGCCCCCAGGTAAATTGAGTTTAAAACCCCTGCTTTACAAGGAAGACAGAAAAGAAAATAATGCAGCTAAGCCAAATGTCAAGTCACACTGTTCCCCTGAAACCATATTTTGAATGTTGAAATATCATCCTTTACAAGGAAGACAGAAAAGAAAATAATGCAGCTAAGCCAAATGTCAAGTGACAGGGACTATCTAGTAATGGATTCTGATGCAGTTACATGAGGTTGAAAGTCAGTCTAGGAAAACGAAGAAGGATAACATAGGATAAATGTGAAGCTTGCTGGTGGGGATGAGTCTAGATCAGCAGTTTAAAGTCTCTCTCTTTTTAAAATGTGGATCACTACATCATTGCTGAAAGATTCTATGAACTATCACTTGCCATTTAAAACATTATACATATGACTCCAGGGTATTTGGTGGATCAACCAGCACTTCCCAGTAACCAGTTACTATCTGTCAATATTTTCTTGAAATGAACTCCATATGACATTTAGTACTCAATATCTTCTAGGAAGCAACATGCAGGACTCCACCACTGTGACCTTTTCTGTAATCTCTTTCTCTCTGAATGAGTCATTCTTTTTTGTTCCCCATGCAGATTAGGGCTTCACTTATCTACAAATTTAGTCCCCCATGGCTGGTGGTCTGTGGACTAAAGGTTCAGAACCACTGGTGTTAATGTCAGCAGCCATTTTGCAGCTGAGCGCAGAAGAACAAAAACAAATGCATGGAGGGCCTAAATATATAGAAAAAAGAGAAAGTTTATGCAGCCCGCCAACAGTAGTATACATTTTCTACTTCAGTTGTTCCAGCTGAGGAAGGTTTTACTTGTTTAGCCAAAGCCATATGGGAGAGACAAGTTTGTTTGGGGGTTGATGCTAAGTAATAATCCATCTTTTTCAAACTATGTGGAGTGTGATGGCTTTGAACCAATATTGACTGAGCCCAAGGTAACCTAGTAGCTGTGGGGGAAAGGAATACTTAAAGTACCTTGAGTTAAAAATGCAGAAAACACAATAACTTCCGTTTATCTAATTCTGAAGAATACATGAAAGAGTTTACCGTATATACCATCACACTTCTCATGAGCAATTTTTGCATTTAAAAATGCAGAAAACACAATAACTTCATTTATCTAATTCTGAAGAATACATGAAAGTGTTTACCGTATATACCATCACACTTCTCATGAGCAATTTGGCATTTAGACGCTAACTTCAGTATCAGATGGAGACACTTATCTTTATGCTGCCTGAAAGGAAATCAACTGCCATGTGTTTCCTCAAGACAGATAGTATCCAATTTGTGATGGACAGTGAAATTCTCTATCTATAGATAGTCATGAAAGTTGACTGGGGGGAGGGGGACCTTGCTGGCATATCCATTGATGGTAAGGATAACTTCCTGTTGTACATTGTGAAAACAAAGGCTTTGTGGCTGTACGCCAAGTACTCCTAAGCAAAGAAAGAATATGCCCCTAAAAGATTTCAGAATTTGATTCATACTGCTTGGATTTGTGCCATTTTTCTACCTAGATGGAGAGCCTTGAGTATGAGGACAAGGAGTTTAAAGCTGACATATGATACCCAATTCAAGGAGATGGCTCTCTTAAAGAACTACAGATGTATCAAGCAAAAGGAGGTCAAGCTGACCATGACTATGGCTACATCCTGACAACTCCAAGGCGATTAAGCAAACTTCATTTCTTTAAGCATGACTGAGGCAGCCCAAATCAGTGTAACCCAGTTAGTATTGTCTAAGCAATGTGTTGAATCATGTTCATTTGGGGAGTGATAAGCAGGAGAACTGACTGACCCTCAACATGCTCTGGGGATTTCCCACCTCAGACTTTGGGAAAGGGAGAAAGCACACCTGTAAAGGCTCAATATTAGTGCTAATTTGGCATAGAATTTGCTTCCTGTTCCAAAACTTGCTGGAACAATTTGGAGCAGTTTCACTCAAAAAGAAAGCCTTCTTTTTGTTACTGTGTAATAATAATTGTAAAGAAAAAAAATTAACACCACAGAACTGTAGTTTCCCACTTGTTCAGGTCTTAACATGATTGAACTATTTTTTTGTGTTTAGACAAACATTGAAAATTGCTTCCATTGCTTTCTGATTTTTACCTCCCGGCCTTAGTCTGTGATTTATTGTCTGCCTTTCAAATGTGACATTTTTGTTGATCTTCTTTAACAATTATCCACCCACTGTATTATACTATTGAAACAGAGCTTCTCTACCCCCTCATCCTTTTGGGCTTGCCATGTTGCAAACAGAGTATATCAAGCTGATGAAATCTTACTTTTCTTTTTTAGAAAAGTTGGACTTTCCCAAGTATATTTGCAAAGGAACTGAACCACAGAACTCACGGGGTGGAACTCAAGGAGTAGGTAGCTACTCTATTAAGTATTGAGTAGCTAGTGGGGGGAAAGATGCCCAAAAAGAATATGTGAAAGACTATGCCGTTATGAATTAAATAGGGTGGAAGCTCTCCTTCTCTCTCTCTCTCTCTCTGCCCCTGAACATATACTAGAACTGAGAACCATCCAGTACAGTACATTGCCAAAAAGTTCTGAGCAAAGAGAAGAAAGTACTTCTTCATGCAACACATGGGTTGATTATGGAATTCACCATAACATTGCTGCCTTAAGTCCTGAAAAGAAGAAAGAGAGGATAAAAAGAAATTAATTAAATAAATAATGCCTTTTAAAAGGAGATGAGACAAACTGATCATTCCATCAATGACTACTGACAATGGAACTTCAGTATTTGTAAATAACATACTTGTTGCATTGCTGCTGAGCAGTTTAAAGATCTACAGAACAAAGAGCTGAGCCTTGTGTAACTCTGGTCCCTGTAGGAACAGGATGACTGTCTGGGGGGCATTTTTTACTGTAATCACTCCAGTGTTGGCAGGCACTGCACAGAACGCTCTCGGGTCACAGTTACATGTACTAGATACTGCAAAGGCTCAGCAAGCAACTTCAGTCACTTGTGCAATTTTTTTAAGTGTGCATTGGTGTCATTTTAGAACCATACCAGGGCTTCCCATGCCAACCAGCTCATGCTGGATGGCTTCCCGGCTGCCAACAGCACTAGGGGTGGAGCTCAATGTGTAGCAAAATCGGAGCTGCAAGAGCTGTCCATCAGGTGAGGAGCAGCGTTCCTGCCCAGCCAGAGTTGAGAGGCTTCCCAATTATCTTGGCACAAATTCTAAAAATGCCTAAACGCACAAGGTTCTGAAATGAAGATACCTAAAGATCACTGTCGCTACAGATATTTGACCCTTCGGGACCATTTGGTTGCAGGGCTGCCAAGACTTGGAAGGATAATCTTTTTTTAAACTTTGGGTGGCTCTTAGGGATGGATTCCAAAATGGATTTGTGGGTTAATCCAGATGTGAAGTTTGGCCATATTTTCCTCTCCTTTCCTTTCTTGTTTTGGTTCTTTGATGGGTTGGGGTGGTGGTGGTGGAGCCTTCTTGTCTACATTAATTTAAACACCATGCTTTTGAGGGTGAAAATACTAATTAGGATTTGTTTGTTTGTTTGTTTACTTCTGAAACTGGCTCCCAAACCAGTTTGCTTTAGCCAGTAAAAAGAAAGGATGGTCAGACCAGCTTTTTTCCTCATCAGCTAGCAGCCCAACTTGGTTGCCAACTGTTGGAAACAGAATGGTAGACAAACAGAATGGTAGACAACGTTGGCCGTTAATCAGAGTCTGCAAGGGTATTCCCTTTCCAAAAAGTCTTGGAGATTTAGATTCAAGAGAACATAATTTTGTCTCCAAATATCAGTGTGTCAGAGTAAGAAAAAAGGAATATAAACCAACAGTGGATTCAGAACTACTATAGCTGGTATCAACTAATCCTTCCTGGTGATGGAACAACTTCTATTACGTGCCTTTACAGCTTGCTCTGGTGTTACAAGACCCACCAGAGCAGAATAGAAGAATGCTTTGGTGAAGAGTGAACATTTTCTCATTAGATATTGGATATTTTCAAAGATTCATCTAGTCTAATAGCTCCATTTGTCACCATAAAATACACTGCAGGCATTTTGCTCCAATTCCCAACACAGAGACATCATCTTTCTTACTCTGTGTACTTCAAACTGATGAGCTGGCATCATCATTCATGTGTCATAAAAAGGCCTGAGAGGAGTTTTGCTGTGTCTGGGGTGTTACCTACATGGTAAGTTTAGTAAAAGAATTCCAGAAACAGGAAGAAGTGTTCATTCTTAATTTAGTACCAGAGTATGAAATTATAATTACAGAATAGCTTTCTCCAGCTTGATGGTTCCCAGATCTGATGGATTATGACTCCCACCATCCCCATGTAGCACAGCATGATGGCTGGCAATAAGTAGTGTTGCCTCCAAGCTTCTTCCATCAGAAGTTCAGTAAACCTGGAGGTGTCTGCAACTGTTCAAAAATGGCTTTCGTTCTGCATTATCAACTAGCAGTAGAAAGTGTTGACTCCTTAGCACTAATACTTCCACAATTGTAATCCTCCCCACTGCCTTTCCTGGATTTAAGTGTGTCTCTTCAATATTAGGAGAATGAGGTATCACTTCCCCCTGTTGAAGTTCCCTGATATAGGCTGGTGTGTTGACTGTGTGATATTTAACAAAAAGAACCTCTAACATTATGCAGCCACATACTAGCATGACATCTGTTATAGAGAAAAGGTGTTGAGCAGCACTCATCCAGACTGAAAAATTCCTTTTTATTACTTTTAAAGTACTTTTTCAGAGGCAAAGGCAGGGGATATTTCTGGTTGGTCCATGCCATGGTACTGCTGTCCTAAGAGCATTCCTGCCAGGGTTGGGCATCTTCTGGCCCTTCAGACGTTGTCAGACTGCAATTCCCATTGTTATTCACCATTGCCTATGTTGGCTGGGATGGTAGTGGCAGTCTAACATCTGGAGGGCCAGAAGTTGCCTACCCTTAAACTAGTTCTATTAGTTTGGAAAATGGAATGCACATCTGAACATGTGTATGTGTATTCCTTGTTCATGTTAGGGTTTTTCACTCCTGCATGGAACTTTCTCCTCATCTCTTTCCCACTACCACCCTCCTTTAATCTGCTCTGAAGTGTCATGTAACCCTCCAGAGCAGACTGCAAGGACACATTATAGAAGATGTTCCATGGAAAATCCAGATGAAAAACCAGACCGAGTTAAAATCAGGACATTCACTTACAGGACCTTTGTTCAGTCTATCAGCATATTTGAGATGTGAGGTCAGTGTGTGTGTGTTTGTGCGCACACCCAGCATTATTATTCTGCTGCTTTATCTCCTGTGTTACCTACACATTGTTTCTATGGCACAAACACCAGGCAGATGGAATTCTATGCTTGGAGGACACCATTCAGCCTTCTTGATCTTCCAAATGGTTGATCCCAAGGTCACTCTCAGTGCATCTGGTCCTAGAAAGCCTTGCCCTCATTCTTGACCCTCAATCTGAGCATGTTCTTTCTATGGAATCTCTGGTCAGCCTGACTGCCTTTCTTTGACTGCTACCTTGAATCATAAATCATCTGCTTGCCTTTGACTTTGTACTTTCTCCTGACCACAGCTATAATAAGAGTAAGGCAAGTGAGGCACGGGGGAGACATAAATATGAACCTACTATCTCAAGAACGCTATCCCAAAAGAGTATGTTTCTGTAGCCCTGTTCAGTCATTTCCTACATAGATGAGCTCATCGTCTTTAGATGGGAACAAATAGTAGCCCCCTTCCGGCATTACTTTCTATGTGTGGAAAGTGAGCAGGTGAGACTAGGCTGTACGTTGAAGAACGAATCCTGGTTTTCCAGGGTTCTTGCTCTTTTGTAGGGCCTACATGCAAGCAAGAATATTTCCCCTGCAGACATGTTGCTTTCAATGTGTAGAAAGTAATAAAAATGGGACAGACTAGATACTTCCATCTAAGCAGGGTGAACTTATCCAGCTAAAAAATAACCGAATACAGTTTATAAACTCTGTGGGGCTTCATGTTCTATGAGTTCTACTCCCCCTCTTCTTCCATTCTTTTCAGGAATAAGTGTTGCTTTGTGGCATCAGAGAAAGTTTGGTATTGAAACAATTAAGACCATTCAAATCACCAACACTATGCAGCTCTTTGTAATCTTCCTGATTATCTGTTAATTCGTTCGTTCATTTAGTCGTTTAGTCGTGTCCAACTCTTCATGACCCCATGGACCAGAGCACGCCAGGCCCTCCTATCTTCCACTGCTTCCTGTAGTTGTGTCAATTTCATGTTCGTTGCTTCGCAGACACTGTCCAGCCATCTCATCCTCTGTCGTCCCCTTCTCCTCTTGCCGTCACACTTTCCTAACATCAAGGTCTTTTCCAAGGAGTCTTCTCTTCTCATGAGATGGCCAAAGTACTGGAGCCTCAGCTTCAGGATCTATCCTTCCAGGGAGCACTCAGGATTGATTTCCTTTAGAATTGATAGGTTTGTTCTCCTTGCAGTCCTGGGGACTCTCAAGAGCCTCCTCCAGCACCACAATTCAAAGGCATCAATTCTTCGGCAGTCTGCTTTCTTTATGGTCCAGCTCTCACTTCCATACATCACGACAGGAAAAACCATAGTTTTGACTATTTGGACTTTTGTTGGCAAGGTGATGTCTCTGCTTTTTAAGATGCTGTCGAGGTTTGTCATCGCTTTCCTCCCAAG